CCTGGGCCTAGTCGCCCCCTCGGAGGGGAGCAAGGCCCGCCGGCCTGCGGCCCTGAGGGAGGCTGCTGTCCGCGGCCTGGCTGCGTGCGGAGGCGGCCGAGCCGGCTGCGGTGCCTTTACCTCAGGATCTGTAGATGTCTTATGTCGAAGTGGGAGGCTGCTCACAGCACCTCCGAAATGCCCAGCTCGCATTGGGCTGCATCTAGGCTTCAGTAGGCCGTAGGTCCGGCTTGAGCCCCCAAGTACAGCTGCCTCTTGTGTGGGAAGAAAACCCCATGAGTTAATGGGATTAAAATACACCATGAAAGGGACAGTTTGGGCTGTGTTACATAGATCTGTGGTCCTCCATGTCTTAAGGATTGAGCGTGCAGGGGAGTTTGCGCTTGCATAAACTAAAATGTTTCAGGCCATGTAGTTATTGCTTCACCACTCAAACTTCACCTGGGTACGTACTTTACAGGCTCAGTGTCAAAACATGCTAAATCCAGTTTCACTGCAAGCTAAAAGTCCTTTTCTGTTAGCCCTTTCTCTAAACACTTCCCTCCTGGCTGCTTTGCTCCGGGTTCCCCCCCCCCCCCCTTCCTTTTGAAAGGTCCTAGTGATCATGTGGCTGCAGAGTAGATCAGTTTGGATCACTGATGCCACAGAAAAGTGATTCACCAAAAAAGAGTTTTCCTTTTTGAGTTTCCTTCCTACTTTTTCCTACTTTTAACAGGGGAATTGGGACTTGAGGCATTCTGCACTGACAGTTAAACACAGTATAAAATTGTGCCTTGATGTAAAACAAACTTTTAGGTTACACTACTTGTGAAGAAGCCAAATCTGATCCGACACAGTTTAATGGAGCCTACTATAACAAGACTAGTTCAAGTAAACGGCAAAACTTTCCCAGGTGGACAAGTCCTCGTGGAAATAATTAACAATGTTAGTATTTAAATTATCAGCGTTATCTGATTAAACCCTCGCTATGAGAATAGGGAAGTTCTCATGTCACTTTGTTCTGGGCTCCCTGCAGACTTACTTCTGCATTGCATTTGGTCTCATTTTTTAGGTTTTCTTTACAACTGTACAGCCAGAGATTTATTCTTTACATATTCCTACAAACTCACAGCCAAATTCTGACTTTAATTTAGGAAATAGACCATCAGTAGGCGATGCTTGCTGATAATCTAATGTATAGTCCATCAGTCCAGCTCCGCCTGACGTGGAGGTGGTAAGTGAAGTGAATACTGCTACTGTCAGTGGTAAAAACCCATGATTTCAGTGGGGCCAGGATTTCAGCCATTGCTCCTTGGTATTGATCTTTGTTTTGGCTAGCTGGTTTGCAACACAAAGGATTTCCTGGCAAGGGAGGGAGTTTTCTGGACCCTTCAAAGGCTGGACGGAGAAGTGTGTGGGGCGACACTCAGCCAGTCTCAGCAGCAGCCTGTTAACAATCCACAGCACTCTTGTCATAATTCTCTGGATCTGTTCTCTTTCAGGCTGGGAAATTAAGTGTTAAATATAAGCAGTATTCACAATGAGCATCTTCGTGGCATTCAGATATGCAAAAGAGTGTATTTTATGAATATATTATGGTCTATTTTTGCTCATTCTAATAGCTGATTTGATTTCCATGACTGACAGTCCAAACACAAATCAAGTTACCATTTGCTTAACACACCAATCCAATATTAAAGAGGAATAACAGGATAGTTCGCTATTACTCTGGTAATAGAGAGACCCTTCAGCCGTTTTGCACAGCTCTGGTACAAAAAAATGGCTGTTCCCAGATGTCTGAACTTCAGCAGGTGTGGAACAGGGACCTAAACTATGATGACAGAGACAGGTACGGTGACTCTACTTGCCTTCACTCAGGACTTCCTGTGAGTTTTCAAATTCCATGAATTATAGTTGGTCTGGATTCTGTGTAAAAAACTCCAGCTTTTTCTTGATACTACCTGACCTGTGCTATAAAATGCAAGTGTGCTCGTGTCTTTTCTGTAAATGGGGGTTAACACACTTGCTGCCTCTGGAATCCATGAATTAAAATGACTGTATGTGAACTAATCACCAATTTATTAAATACTTTTGGAAGTTCTGCATAAATAATGTATTTGCCAGTGTGTCTTCAAAAGCAAATCCAGCTGCAGTTGGGAATGCAACAGGTTGTCTTGCAGGGGCAAACTGAGCCAGAACTCAAGAAACCTGTAATCCTGGTTCTGCACTTGCTTGCTGCGTTACTGTGGCAGGTTGCCTTGCATCTGCTGTCTCAGATTTCCCTCTCTAAGCTGGGGAGAATAATGCTAAACTTCTTTTTTTCTGATTATTTGAAACCTTTCGGTAAAAACTGTTGTGTCTTAACTTCTCTACATTAAGCTGTTTCCACTGCAATAGTCATTATCAGTTTTATTTACACTGGGTTTGGATGCTAATTTTTTTTTCCAAAATACTTAGTAGCTGTCCTGGTTTCAGCTGGGATATAGTTAACTGTCTTCCTAGTAGCTGGTACAGTGCTGTGTTTTGAGTTCAGTATGTGAAGAATGTTGATAACACTGATGTTTTCAGTTGTTGCTCAGTAGTGTTTAGACTACAGTCAAGGATTTTTCAGCTTCTCATGCCCAGCCAGGGCACCTGACCCAAACTGGCCAACAGTGTATTCCATACCATGTGACGTCCCATCTAGTTTAGGAACTGGGAAGTGGGGGGCAGGGAATCGCCGCTCAGGGACTGGTTGGGTGTCGGTCGGCGGGTGGTGAGCAATTGCCCTGCGCATCATTTGTACATTTCAATCCTTTTATTACTACTGTTGTCATTTTATTAGTGTTATCATTATCATTATTAGTCTCTTCTTTTCTGTTCTATTAAATCGTTCTTATCTCAACCCAGGAGTTTTACTTCTTTTCCTGATTTTCTCCCCCATCCCACTGGATGGGGGGGGAGTGAGTGAGCGGCTGCGTGGTGCTTAGTTGCTGGCTGGGGTTAAACCACGACAGTAGCTTATTTTTGGAGCAGGCACATTCATTTTTTAACTGTTTTTTTATTTAAATCATTATTTATTTTTGCATGCACACTCAAATGGTTAAAAATCAGCAGTCAGAAATCCAGTAAAGGAGACTTCCAAGTTTAATTCCATTAAACACTTAAAATTAATATGAGGGTATTAAGAACAGTGTTATCAACAGCAAATGGCTCCTAATACCCTAGAGAAAATGTGCTTCTGGCTTATTTTTTAACCGCAGTTACTTCTTTGTGAGCTCTCATTCTTGTCTGGCAAAATCAGACTTGAGTTTTCGTAGCATGGCAGGCTGGCCGAGATGGGTTGTCTGGTCGTGGGTTTGGCTCATAACCTTCTTGCGATGAACCTCTCAAAGTGACACCTAACTCCAAGGCACCGTCTTCCATTCGAAGTTAAGCTTGTCTTCAGATGAGTTCCTCCAAATCAGACACTAAATAGGTCTTGGGTTATTTCAGCAACATCCTGTGATGGAGCAAATGTTCTGTCACACCTGACAGGAAATTCTGGATTTAAAATGTATGAGGGGTACAAAAGCAAACTCACTCTCTTGTAGGTGCCACTGGGGCTGATCTGTGACCCATTGGCAGTGGCAGCAATCTTAGGAGGCAGCAGTACCTTTTAAAAGATATACACAGGTGAAAGATGCATTGTCTTTGAGTGTATTCCCCAGAAGGGCAAAGGCAGAGTAAGAAATGGGAAAGACTTTAATAAATATCTTACTTAAGGAAAGAGAACAGTATGAGGATTAAAACAATTAAAATATATGAAAAACACTGCTGTGATAAACTTTGAGCAGAAAACATTCTGAGTGTGTTACAGCCTCCATACTACCGTAGTCTCAGAGCTGCAGGCAGCGTTCATGTGTATCAGATTTTGTTATTGCTGTAATTTCTGTTTCTGTTTCTTCCACCATTCTTGTTACTTGTTTATCCACTTGTTGCAGCTTATCTGCCTTATTGTCTGTAACCCACTCGCTGCATCTCATTTCAGCTGTAATTTCTTCAGAGCAACATGACCTAAGGACCCCTGAAACAGCTGCTAGGGTGGAGAATAGGAGAGCTTGTGTGCAGAGAAATGGTCTAAACAAGCAATGTGTCTATCAAGTGTGTTATTAGTGTGTCACGTGTGGAGTCCCTAGAAAGCTGGTCACCCACAAAGGATCAAAATCTCAACAGAACACATATATTGTTGAAGTATAGTGTAAAATGTATAAATTATTACCAGCTCCAACTGGCTGCAGGGAGGTTTGGGCTGTAGCTTTGGATTCTAAACTGAGCAGCATGCAGAAGCCTGGGTATTGCTCTGGACCCCAGTATTTGCAATATATTTTAGGGATCTAGAGAAAAGAGATCAAGAAACACCAGAGGAATCCAAGTGTTAAAAATATTTCATCCTCTTTTTTTTTATTTTTTTTTTTTTTTTTTTTTTGTCTGGATGCTGGAAGTCTTACTGACTAAGCTTTGCTTTTTTTCATCAGGAAGCCCATTTGGTATCAGGGGCAGCAGGAGAATCAGGGTGAAGCTGACAAATGTAAGGAAGTCCTTCCTTTCAAGACTGACTCAGAATGTAGTGGAAAATGTCTAAGATGCCCCATTCTTAGGCAAAGGGGGTGGTACCTGTTGTGGTTTAACCCCAGCCAGCAACTAAGCACCAAAG